TTATAGTCCCAAAAAAATTGGCAGGAGAAGCTAAGTAGCATTTTTTGGAAGACGATGAGATACCAAATTGATAGAGGTCTAGAAAAGTTATTTAATAAATTATCCATGTGCAAGCTATTGCTTTCTCCTCCTACTTTCAGTTGTGTACCAGGGCAGCTTCAGAGACTAAGATCATGGGCAAATGACAGAGGAATTTTAGATAAGAGTTGGAAAACTAAAACCAAAATAGTCATTGCTGAGAAATGAACTGAACAAGCATCTGTAACTTTTTTAACAACACTGTATGAAAACAAAGTACAGAGAACTAGCACTTTGGGGACTGGCAAAGTAGAGAGGCTCTGAAGTCCTCCTAAATCCAGAAGGCAACTATTCTGACTTAATTTACTTTTTTTTTCCCTTCTAGGTTGGACTGAAAATTGATTAGTGATACTGAATAGTAACCACCTTTTAAAATTAGCCAAATCTGGTCTCTAAAGTGTCCAAAAAGCAACAAGAAGAAACAAATCAGCATTTAATGATCATATTTATTCAAAAATTGGTAGGCCAAGTACCACCAACTTATCAAATTAGCTAACTTATGGAACAACATTGCTTCAAGTTTACCTATTTTCTTTTTTGATTTGTTAAATAATTTGACTTCGACTAAAAGTTACCTTAGAAAAGTACTTAGCCCTAATTTGGAGATAGCAACATTTTGAAAGCTTTATGTTCAGCTAAACTATTCCCCTTCTAATTTTTTGTTCTCCAGCTTAGGAAACAAATCTTTGAAATGTGGCAAATAAATTATGCCAGAGAAAACACATTCAGCCTTCAGCTTCACCGACATACAAGTTACCAGGATTTAGCCACAATGATTAGAAACTTGAAATATGTGTTGCTAAGCTTTTGAGCTAGAATTCATTTACTGTATTTGTAAAAGTTCTAGGTTGCCCAGTCACTTCACAATGCTGCCATGTCTTATATTCACACATTGTGGACGAAACCACAGAGGGAATGTATTATAAAAACCATAAACCTGGTTGCAGCAATGAGTCCTATTTCCATCCTTTAGAAGGACCAGGCAAGCACTTGCAAATTGTGCAGTTGCAATGCCTGGGAAGCAATTATTTTTAACTGAAAGTGAAAAATTCACTATTTCACCATTTCCTAAAAAAAAAGAAACCTACTTCAGCTATGAAAGGGACAGGGAGAAGGAGAGAGATTAATAAGCATTTTCTTAACTGGTGTGAATTGGCACAGCAAGGAAAACTCCCCTGATGCCTCATCACAGGGCTCTGTGTTTTCTTTCTGCAGGAAAGAAAGCAGCAAGTGGCTGCAAGTAAGATGAACACAAGCCTGGAAAGTTTCTGCAGATAATTATGAAAATGCAGTTTGGTCCCAAAGTAACTAAAAAAAAATTTTGTTTTTTCTTTCTTCCCCCAAGAGACCCATGTGATGAGCTGTGCAGCAAAGATCAGCAGAATGCCAGGAACAGTCACTGTATATCCAAATTTGGCTAATAAACCAGCATAAAGCATGTCAGAAAGGTGATGTATAATTTACCAAAGACAGAATTTGTTCAGTTTCCCTCTGAATGCTGTTAATTCCATTGGAAAAGAGATGGTGTGGATGCCTGTAGACTTCCTTTAGCTGTGCAAATATACAGCTATTTCATTTTGAAGTTGCTTTAGGGGCTGGCAAGCTAACAAGGTTTGTAAAGGTGTAAGAAAAAGAAGGAAGACTTTTTCAGTGTCCATGTCTAGTATTCAGTATAGGATTTTGAGGGTTTCATCCCTTTTACTATCCATATGTCAATTCTGAGGCAGCAGCAGACTTTACACTCTGGAAAACTTGTAACATCTTTCTAATTTTTCCCAACTCCTGGACTGGACATCACTTGAGATTCAAGATAACTTGAAGAAATCTGAACCCTGATATTATTCATTATAGGTTTTGATCATGCTCTTCTCTTTCTGCAAACCATCAGCTTTACATAAATGAAAGGCTGAGTCTCAGATGCCATGGAGATTCAAGGTACCTTCTCCATTTCAAAATGTATTCGGTAGGATCACAGTTCAACTTACCTATAGATGAAGTGAAAAATTAGTTATTAACTGGAAGCATAAATCCACCTGGAAAAAAATCTGTATCAGTCAAAAAAACAAATAACTGCTATTAAATGGGAAAAGTTGGTAGCAATACATAGCAGTGCCTGAAATAATTTTCCATTGTTACTTATAAACTTCAAGTTTGGTTTTTTTTTTTTTTTTTTTCAGTAAAAAACTGATCCCAGGTAGCTGTAAGGCAGCTAAGAATCCATCAAGTGTTTTAAAATCCATAGTAATCTGGGATGTATTGACTTCAAAACCTGGCTGTAAACATCCGAAGGGAAAATCACTTACCAATACGCCACATAAATATATATGATCTCTAGTTGAGGTCTGAGAAAGATGAAGTTGACTGGTAAACCATTAAATAATTTGCATACAAGGTGTCCTTTAAGTACATCTGCAATGATCTATCCCATTTAAAAGCAAAGCATTCACAAGTAATCACAGAAATCTACAAACTGTATTTGTACAAAAAACCTCAACATGACTCTGAAGAGTGAGCAAGTCTTTAAGGTGGTCCTTTGAAGAAGTCCAGAGAATTATCAGTGTATATTCAGAGTGACAGCAATGTGAATTTGACAACAGTATCTTCTAGGTCAATGAGAAAAGGGGACTTTACAGTATGTATGCTGTATATTCCAGTGTAACACACTCTTTCCAGGAATATACCTGTACATGTGGATATACACTTCCCCATTTCCAAGTTGGCAATAGGACATTTTTACTCTTGCTACAGAAAACTTAGACCAGGAAGGTTCATAAAGCCTTCAACAGAATCCAAACAGACCTGGATGTTTGGATCACACACAGTGTGACTGGGGACAGCGAGTCCCCACGAGTGACCCGGCAGCGGGGGCTTGGGAGGGACCCGCCGCCCCGACAATCTCCGGCCCGGAGAGCATCGCGCCGCACACCGGGCACCTGCGCTGCCGTCTGGGGTACCTGTGCGGTACCGCCCCGGCCGACAGGGATGGGGCAGGAGGGAACGGGGATGGGGATGGGGATGAGGATGGAGATGGAGATGGAGATGGAGATGGAGATGGAGATGGAGATGGAGATGGAGATGGAGATGGGGAAGGGGAAGGGGAAGGGGCTG